ATATATATATAAATATGTTACACTCAAACTCACTGCCATTCAGTCAGTTCCAACTCATAGCGACCCCTACTGGCTTTCTAAGGATATAAGTCTTTACAGAAGCAGATCACCCCATCTTTCTTCTGTGGAGTGCCTTGTGAGTTTGAACCACTGACCTTTTGGTTAACAGCCAAATGCCTTAATCACTACACCACCAGAGCTCCTTCATATGTGTGTGTGTGTGTGTGTGTGTGTACTACATATTATATATATATAACATGTATACATACAACATGTATACAGATAGATAGATAGCCTGTCTTACAATTTGATAACAGATCTGTTTTCTACATTAAACTGAAAACTACCCCAAGAGAAAGTTAGAACACCTAAATGATGAGAACATTCAACATAAGCACACTTATAAAATTCTAATGCATTTTTTAAACATTATAATCTTGCAAACAATTTAAGGTAATTGAATAAAAATCTTTGAGGACTGATAAAATTTTTTTCTTAAATCTCAAAACACACTCCATACACACCTAGTGAGATGATTATAATTTGACAGGAAAAATTAACTTAAGACTTTAAGAAGGCCTTTCTTGTTTAGAAGCCTTGTTTTTGCAGATTTGCAACCTTCAATTTTACATATGGACATAATTGTGTACATTGCACACGGTGTGTTATTTTAAAATGTCAGTAGTAGAAGAACAAATTACCCTACCACTATCAAGGTAACTACTCTGAAATTGCACACTGTACCAAATTCTACCTTCCAATCATCTGAAGAGGCGCATCAATTAGGCGGGCATTCAGATTTTGTTGTTTTACTGCTCCTTTCTTTAAACCTTACAGTTATGTGGCATTCTAACTCACTGATTTCTTTCACTTCCACAATTAGTCACTTCATTTAGAAATGAGGAGAGCTCTGATGGCACAATGGAAAAAGCACTCAGTGGTTTGAACCCAGCTGCTCCATGGGAAAAAGATGAGGAATCTGTTTCCACGAAGATTTACAACCTCGGAAATCCTATGGGGCAGTTCTGAGTCAGAAGCAACCCCATGGCCATGGGATTGATTTGAAGGACACCATAATCAGTGGCAACAAAAAGATTTGGGAAGGGGGGCAAAAGGGATAGAAATATTACTGCATTTTTGAAGGAATGATTAGTTTCTGGATATCTTTCTAATATAAAACCTGATGACATCATAAAGAAAATTCAAGGACCTTGGGCAGCTGCTTGGCAATGTCTCCTCCCACAAAGACAGCTTCTAAGTAAATCCACAAGTTCTGCACAGTCATCCAGCTCTCGATGATGTCGGTGGAGTTAGAAAGGTACTGCACCCATTTCTGAATCTGGGCTTTGAAGGGCATGTTGTACCTAAAATGAGAAATATGTTCAGCGTTTGTTTTTGTTGTCATGGTTGTTTTCAAACTAAAAAAGCCACACACATACACAAAAGAAAAACCCTAATTGTTAACTTTGTATTTGTTTACAACTTTAATTTTGTCACTGGCTTTTATCATTTAAAAACAGTTAATTCAGGGATTGTAATCAATATCATGAAACAAGACATGTATGAACTGTTCAATGGAAAACCAATTTCCTCTGTAAATTTTCACCCAAATCACAATTTAATGAAAGATTTAAATACTCAATTTCCCACCATTTATTGGGCACAGCAGCCCAATTTGTTTGCCCTTCTGATCCACAGAGAGGTAGAGAGCCGTACTCTAAGGAGCTGTTCTGGTACTGACCTGACTCCACCAGCTGCCGCACTAACACTGTTCTCATTATTGTTGCTACGGCCAACCCAATGATACTCACTCTCCTGTGCCATGTCTACTCCGTGTAGTCTCTGGTTTCACACCAAATAGAGAACAACTATAGAGCCATTCACAGAGACCAAACAACTAGCTCAATTGTCAGGAATGATGATATCTGGGATCTGCCTTTAGCCTCCCCCCTTTTGGCTCTTTTCCAACTACACACACACACACACACACATTTGTGCATGCACATGTGGACAATGACTTACACATGTACCCTGGTAGCATTTCTTCTGCTATCTCCCCCTTACTTCCTCTTGAGGCAGCAACTGCCAGTGGCCCCTGAGATCATACTGCCCTTCCTTCTTTGTTAGATATTGTGGTAGTTAAGGCTGTGTTTCAACTTGGCTGGCCCATGGCTTTGAGTGGCTGAGCAGCTGGATGTAGTTATTCCCCAGGATGAGACCATAATCACCTCCATGGTAGAATCTGCTATGAGCAGCTAAGTGGCTGCCTTCGGGGCGTGGCCTGCCTCCAGTATATATGGCAAAGCTTTGAGGAAGGTCTCGAGCTTTGAGGCACATTTTGGCCTGCCATGTTGCCTGCTGATCTTGGGATTTTTCCAAGACTTACTTGAACAAGTGGCCTGCTATGTTGCCTGCTGACTTTGGGATTGTATCATTTTACCTGCCAATCTTG